TGTGTGGGGGGGAGGGTGGGGGGACAGAAAAGGTCAAAGTACTGACACTGTTCATCTATTGTCAAGTCTCAGGTGCATAATCCAGAGGAACCAGATTCCTTTATGCAATGGCGACACCAACTGGAAGCAAGGAGTAATTCAACTTTTGAGACTTCAAAATCAAACTGCAGCCAGAAAACACTGACATTTGTGTTACCTCTTACACTTTACAGGAACAATTATACAGTACTCTATATTAGTCAGACTCTCAGCATGACAGTGACGGAAAGCAGATTCTTACAGTGGTGCCTCTGCAGTCCCAGTAGGAAGCGGAAGTGATCCCTGTTGATCTTTAGTCCAGCCAGGATGTCCTCCATCATCCACAGCTCTCTCTGGGCCTGAGACTGGTCCTAAAAACAAGAAAATTGATATGAATAAAGGGGGACATATTATGCTCATTTTAGGTTTATGATTGTATTTTTTGGCATCCTTTAGTTTTCAAAAATCACTATATTTGTCTCATACTGCCTGTTCGAATAAACCTGTATTCACCCTCTGTGTGGACACTGTCTCTTTAACCCCCCATCGCTAAACATATTGTTGTAATTGGCTTGTGAGAACAATTCTAATGGTATTTCTTAAAACGTTGGTGGAAAAATGTAGATGGGTTGCTGTTTATTTTAATGAGTCTGCATGTGACATATGAAGGTTCACCAATTCTTAATTCTGACCAAGGTCAATGACTAAAAACTACAGACACATCACGACGCATGCTTTTTGTCAATTTTAAATACCTGTGGCACTCCAAAGTTACAGATGTGCTGCAGTTGTGAACGTATAACCCACAGTTCACTCTCCATTCTTTCATATTGACTCCACACCCTTTCCATTTCCTGAATGAAAATTTTAGAGAAAAAACCCCCAATTTATTTGTATACAAAATGTAACCAAAATAAAAACAATGGAGAATCTACAGTGGATTTCATTATTTGTCTGATTTTGGTGGAAACATACCAATGATACATCACACATTTTGGCCCTGATTGTGACCAGCTCTTCCTGCAGCAAAGCCTTCTGGGTAAGTGCCTCTTCCTGTGCCCTCGGCCCCTGACTTTTCCACTCCTCCAGCTGCAGTCTGGACACCTCTAATGCACACTGGACGCTATCCTGCAACATCGGGAAAAAAAACGTTATTATGTGTATTCTTAAAACAGTCACAACATGCTTTAAACAGCCTTTAATTTGTAGTCCTTTAGAGTTATTCTTCACCTTATCCATTTGCAGCTGGGCCAGCTCTACAGAAAGAGACTGGAGCAGCTTGTCACACCCACACAACCTTGTCAACACAACCTGAAGAGGCAAAATAAAACATCCAGTAACATAAATAATGGGAACATACTCTGGGGCCGGTAAGAGCCATATGCAACGTTGTGAATACTCACGTCTGCATCACTTTCAAGAGGCCTGATTGGGGGGGTTTCAGGCTTTGGAGGCTGAAATGCATCAAGGTTATCATTTTTGTTAAACAGTTCTAATTAAAAACAGTGATTTGTTGATATTTCTTCTTCCTGTTCACCAGCTTTAACAACATGTGATTGTTAAAAGATCCTTTATGAGTTTTCTGTAATTGTTTTGTGTTGTATACAGTTGGTTAATGCTTGAATGTAAAAACGGAGCAGAACAAGCAACAGTGGCCAAGGTCATGAATTAGAAAGAAAAATACATTTGCAACTTGGCAACAAGCTGCTTTATGTAACACACATTTCATGAGTCATGCACATGGCAGAACTCAAAGAAATCAGACTTATCAAACAGATTTAACCACAACTAATCACATTTAAAGAATGAGCACAATATATGATTAATTGGTCACATATTAAACTGATATAACAAGCATTAGTGACAATACAATATATTACATTGACATAAACAGTCAGTTCGCAGCACAATTTCTACAAAAACAATACTTTTGTTTGAGAAGACATACAAAAACACAACACAGGTTTAAATGTGTACCACATAAAGACACCGTGAGGAACACAGAGGCCAGCAGACTGTACCATAGCTTGCGGTAGCACACAAACAGACAAATTGCTGCGGTGATGGTGATGATGGTGGTGGTGATGGTGGTGTGGGTGCTGGGGAGCATTTGGGGCCCTGGCTGAGGGGGGCAAAGGGGGCAGTAAGTCTGCATGTGCCCCTGTAGAGCAGCTCTGAAGGAAGAGACAGTATGTAGATGATAAGAGAACATATTGCATTATACAAACATACAATGCTACAGTAGACTGCTGCACATTAGTCTGGATGTGTACATTAAATGTGTTGTTCATACTATAGTCACCTTTCCTAAAGGTCGTCTCCCACTCGAGATATGGAGGACAGACCCATAGGTGGGTACAGGCTGTAAAATATGAAACGAAAAGGTGAGAGGAGATAGAGATGAGAAGAGACCTCACATCTGTTGCTAAAAAAAAAAAAAAACATAAACACACATCTGAGGAATCACAAGACACAGTCATCATAGTCATTATTAAGCCCATACTATTTAGATCAGCGGTGTCCAAACTTTTTTCACAGAGGGCCACACACAGAAAAATACAAGAAGGGCTGGGCGACTCACTCGAGGTATTTTGCCTCTTAGGTTCTGTTATAAGTTGGAAAAGTCAATCCAATGAAGGTCAATTATTCTTGATACTTGAAAATGCTTTAAGAAAGAAAACAGCTCACAGCTCTCCAGAGGGTTTCATTTATTGTGTTGGCAGCTCATTCTGTAAAACAGAAGCTTCAGATTGCTTATAATAAGAGGAAATATGAAGGGTATATTTCAAGCTTGTTATGTCAATTAGATTTTTTTTTCTTATCAACTTAGAACATGTTTTCAACTTTAATTGACTGAATTTATTTGAAAATTGGGCTTATTAACACATGAATACCATGAGATATATATTTAAGAAGTAAAATACAAGACAAGCAGAAGTTTATTATACTTAATTTGCTGAGTGAGGGCCGATTCAAAATGGTCCGCGGGCAGCATTTGGCCCCCGGGCCGTAGTTTGGACACCCCTGATTTAGATTGTATAATTAAGATACATTCATATCGTCCTGACCTTGCTTATGTTCTGCCATCTTTCCGTGACTGGAGTGGTCGGAGTGGATTTGAACTCCAGCTGAGGGGAGGCAGGTGCATAGTACAGAGTATTTGGCCCCATGGTAGAGTCGTCGTTAGGCCGAATGTCAACCCTTCCCACCGGTGTGTGAGGTCGCGACCCCAGCTGACCTCTTGAGCTCAAAGAACCTGTTCTGATCATTTCTGTCTGCATGGGTGGTGTGATTTGACCAGGAAGATAGTCTTCCTCTTGGTGTGGACCACAAGCTCTTCTTCTGCTAAATTCAGGAGGGCTGGGTGTTCTATTTGAAGAGAAAACAGACCAGAAATGACAAAGCTGGGATGTTACTCAGAGGATTTTACCTCAAAGTAAACCACTGGGATTTAAATGTGTGCCTTTTGACAACCTGCTGTTTCTCTGACGCACACTCCGCCTCCCCCTCGGCTCCGAGCGCGACGTCCCCATCCTCCCACCAGCGAGGTGGCTCGGTTCGCTCAGAGTCCTGCTGACGTTCCTGTGTCTCTGGGAAGGATCGTCTCCATCAGAGGGGGTTCTTGGGAAATCCACTGATTCAGTGCTGCCACCTATCTGTGTGAAGTCCTGATAACTTGAGCAGCGCCTGAAAGGATCAGATACGCAGCAAAAAATAGGCTCAATCATGAAAAAATGCTTGATATTTAGTGTGAATATCTCATGCAAAGTGAATGGGCTTTTACCTGTTAAGGGAGCTGTTGGACTCCATTGCAGCAGACTGACTGAGGGCTCGGACCCAACCCAGCATGTCCTCCTGAGTGTCCGCGCTGAAGAAGTAAGAACGCATTCCCTGGTGCACCACCTAGGTTTACAGAAATCATTCACAATGTTTCACTGTTGAATATTATCCTTTAAATTCTTAATTTGGCCTGGTTGAATTTGTGTAAAATATAGAGAGACGCCTCTTGTGTGCTCAGTGAAGCCATGATAGTTCCTGTATAAAACTTGATTCATGTGATCAACAACAGTTTTAAAGTGCGAGACTTAAAATCAAATGTTAACAATGTATTTATTGTTTGTACGAGTAACCACATGATGATACCTTGAATGTGAACTTTCTGTTCTTGCATTCCCGTGGTGTGCAGAACAGGATTTTGTAGCTCGGCAGTGGGATGCTACCCATCACAGACTCTTCTCTACTGTCTGGCATGGAACAATAAATACAAGTGAACAAAAGAGATAATTGGTGTCAGAGCACATGAAATGGTTTAATTTCAGACAAAGTGCTGGGCTGTGGGATGTGTACCTTTATAGTAATACAGACAGTAGTTGGAGAGGACAAACCACCTTCTCTTCCATAGCTTCAAACCAGAGCTGTCCTGCAGGAGAGACATACATTAGGTTCATGTTAAAACAGTTACACGTTTACATGAAATTATGAATTGTTAAGCACACCATAGAAACTTACTTTTTTGTTGAGCCATCCTCTGATGACCACAGAGCAGTTGGGATCTCTCCTGGCAGACTGACATCTTTTTCCAAAAGCTTGCACCCTTCCATCACATTCCTGTTAGCAAAGGATGATAATAATACATATTCATGCACTCACAGTATCTTAATAAGCTGTCCACATGTGCACATAATGATAGAACATGTTAACTAACCTGCATGACGGGAAAGTAGGAAATGGTTGCCACGCTGGATGTTTGGCTAACTCTATCCTGATCATCCATTCTGCATTGGGAACAAAAATAACATATAGAAAGCAGTTAAAGCCAACAAAATAGACACACACAAATTAAAATCGAAGATGCGTTCACTAGAGGACTATCACAGTCACAAACCCCTGTCATACATTTCAGAACTGGATGCAAAATGCACTCCAAAATGTAGATTTTAGCACCCAAACTAAGGCCTAAAGTGGACTTTAACCAGGTTATTTCATACACAGGTGTGTTCAAAAGAGGATACAGTATGTACTAAGTGTACACAAACACAAATAAACACACAATATCTTAATAGAAGTGGATTTTTTAAATGAAACACCAACAAAGTAATGACATCACATACAATAGGACGCACACTTGAATATTTAAAGTTTACCAAAATCTCTGAAGAAACAATTTCCAGTTTCCATAAATAACATGAACATTTTAAAACTATGAATACACATGTCAGGTGCGAGCGTGAACAACAACTCTTAGCAATACTCAGCGGACACATTTGATGAACTGCCTTACCAATACACTCAGTATCCCTCTGTAGAAGCAGTCAGTCCATGAACACCGCCATGTAATCTCCATAGACACATTTGCCACATTCCCATATAGTTTAGATTTTTTCCCCCGTCAACTGTTCATCTTCTCTGGGACTCGGTGTTGTGCTCTCAGACTTCCAGCTTAAAACTCTCCCACATTTCTATTCTGAGCTACAACAGGCCAGTGCACTCCCCACCACCCAAACTGACAGGTGACAGCTGCATCGCCATGGTAGCAGGGAGGGGCCCCGGGACCGTGTGAAAACCAATCTATAGCAGCAGGGCCGGCTTGGTATGAGAGACGAGATTTGGAATGCGTCCCAAACTGCAGGGTTGACTGCTGAGGACAGAAAACCAAAATAAAAGAGCCTTGAGCCGAGGAAGTAAAGTGGCCAGCTGAAGAGAAATGAATAAGAAGGGAGTCTTTTGGGAGAGTCACGCTGTCTATTTAAGCCATGGCCACAAAGTTTTATCAGCAGATTTGGTTTTGTACTTCAGGTCACATGATACCATGTTCCTTACACCTGCAACTATTCAACCCATGATTAATTTCCTTACTCTTTTCTTCTGTTATTGCTACATGTGCACTCAGTTTAATCTCACATTTTTTAAAGTTAATTTAAAGTTTATGCTGCTCAGATGTTTTGCCAAAATGCAGTAAGTGCAGTTCATTTTTGTATTTTTGTTTGTGTATTGCTACAGTATGCCAGTGTCACACTCCTAGGCTCATGTCACATTGGTAGTTTTGTATGTTTAGGTTATGCCACGTTCTATGTCTAGGTTTGGGTGTTTTGCTGTTTTCCCTGTCATGTTTTCCTCCTGTTTATTGTCTGGTCCTTTTCCCTGTGTTTTTTCTCCTGGTGTGTCTGATTATGTTCACCTGTGGCCCCTGTGTTTCCTCCTCCCTCCTCACCTGTGCCTTGTTGTGTGATTAGTCTTTTGTGTATTTAAGTTCTGGGTTTTCTGTCTGTCTTTGTCGGTTCTTCTTGTACTATGACTAGNAAACAATGGACAGAAGTCGTACCATTTGCAGTCCACTCTGCATCCTCTCTGTGGGAGAGCCAGGAGATCCAGGATGTGGAGATGACGGCTGGAACACTGACAGTGTTCCAGCCGTCATCTCCACATCCTGGATCTCCTGGCTCTCCCACAGAGAGGATGCAGAGTGGACTGCAAATGGTACGACTTCTGTCCATTGTTTCATTTTCACCAAACCCTGACATTGCTGGGGAGATGAAGTACACTCAATGCAAAGGTCAAATACTTATATTAGTAGACAATGAACAGGCCTGCAATTATACTACATATAGATATTTTTACTGCTGATTTATTTGTGATGTATGGGTTTATATGTCTTGCTCTCCTTTTTTCAAGTTAGTCACGATTTATGGCTACTAAAGTGATCAGTAAAAACAATCTTCAGGATTCGCAGGCCAGAATCTTCTGTGCCATATGTGTTGTGTTCCGTCATATCTAGACTAGGACTGTCAAGATATCAGATTTTCACTTTGTGCATGATGATTAACGCAATCAATATTTCATTTGAAATAAATGATGGTTATGTTTTTTGAACCTGTATATTGTGAAACTTCTAATCTAGACGTGTGTAATAGTATTTCTTAATCTGGAATGGTTGCAGTAACATCTTCTATACAACCCCTTGTGACAATGATCTCTCAGGGTGAGGAGGAAGAGGAGCCCCCTCTCCGCCCCCCGTTACCCCAGGAGCTGCAGGAGAGCTTCCAGAGCAGGGATCAGGGCCATGGCTGGACAGAGTCACCATATGAGGTTTGAAATAAAGACATTAACAATGGCAAGCATACGTGCAGGATAGAATGTTTGTTATAAAATATGTCTCTGCTTATGTTTCAGGCGATCTACAGCCATACTGTTGACCCCGCTCAGAGAGGAGGACACAGCCAGCCTGACCTCCTAAATGTGAAAGCACAGAGAGACTCATTTGGTTGGTACACATTCAATATCAATGTTATACATACAAGTAGTGATATGTTCTAATATTTCATAAAGGTTTGATGTGTTTTTCATGCTGTTTATTTCCTTTGTCTTGTCTTCCTAACTTCTCGTTCTTCCTGTCACTCTCTCCTCCCACCCATCCTCACTCACCCCCTCTTATCCTTCTCCTCCTCTTTCCCCATTTTCATTTTCAGAATCTGGTTCAAAGTGGATCCCACCAGATGCAACAAACCAATCAACCAAGGTTTGATACCTTGCAATTTCCTGTTTGCTGGTTATAACTAAAGCATGACTTCTGAAATGTGGTCCAAAATGCTCCAAATATAGAAGCAGATTTTTCCTCCTTGCAATCACAGCCAATTTCAAGTTCTTTGATTCTCTCATCTTTCTTGCAATTAGGGCATGTTGCAGTGCCTGCTGTAGGCGAGAGGGGGAGGCAGAGGCACGCGTCTCAATGCAGTAGTTCAGTCTTGTCACATTTGTCACCCAACCCCCCTTCTCACATGGTCAAACATACATATATGTGAATATACAGATGCAGCTGTATGCACACGTAGCTCTGCAGAAACACACAGCTGTAATCATAGTGTTTTTTATATGCAAATACATTCTGGTTCTTGCTTTACCTTCTGTACATGCTGGGTTCATGAATGACTCAAATTCTGAAAAGAATGTTTTTCCTAGAAGATGAAGATGAGTGAAGAAGAGCAGATCGAACGGATAAAGAGGAATCAGGAGAGGGTGAATAAGAAGAAACCCCCAATACATGGTTCTGGTCAAAGTTTGGAGACAAGAGAGGAGGTCTGGCAAATGATTAATCAGTACAGCTGACTGATAACCTACATTGTATACTAATATACATTTACTGATCTATCTCTGTGTTTCCTCAGGCTCCCTTTCCTATAAGGGTGACCCGAGTTGTTACAGCTGTACTGCCGTCCTCCCTTGTGGCCAGGCGGGTTTCTGTTGAGGATCCCCCACCTGAGCTCGACAACCCACTGCCCGAGCAGATCCCCCCTGAGATGCAGGAAACATTTTTGAATAAGCCATCCAGGCGTCTGGTGCTGGAGGGTCCTGATCAGAGGCGTTCCTCTGCAGAGATTCACCATGATCAGGCTGTTAGAAAGGCAAACAGGCAGCAGCAGCAGGGAGGGTTGAGGTCCCCAAAGAGGGAGTCACGGTCAGAAAAGACCTCCAGGAATCAACTCCGAGACCAAGAAGGTTTAGGAAATGGAAGTGAGAGGTTAGACGTCAGGGTAAGAAATAACAAAACATGATAACAGCATATTCATTAAGATTAAATCATCATAATTGTATATTTTCTTGTCAATTATAGTTTAAACAACCATTGATTTAGTTGTCAATGCCCTTACTTCCTCATTGTTTAGCAACACACACATAGGCGCAAGTTTATGTGTAAAGATGTATGTAGAAAAAGTATTATGGTGAAAACCCTTCCCCATGGAATAAACAAAATGTACGCTGTGTTACCCAAAATAGTTAAGTTACTTACAGTATTTGGGGTCAACGAGAGGGTCAAACTCCTTTTTAGGCCTCCTATTGGCTTTCTACTTCCAGTGAACTTAAAATACAGAAATGCAAATAGAATTATTTGGGATTTAGAAACATGTTTAATAGCTGTAGTCTGCGATTGCTAACAGGAGAGATGTTGCACACAGCACAATGTTTGTCGATTGCTTGGGGTGGTTTTTACCTTTGTCAAAAAACAGTTGATGCTCTAAATGGGATATAGGAAAGCCTTTGGCATAACTCACTTCTTTCTGGTGTCACTTAAATGTTTTGAGCTGTTAAAGAGTGTCTAATGTGTCAATGCTTGAACAGACAGATGAACGGCGCTCTGCCCACCTTACCCCTGACATGAGCCCTGACCTCTGTCTGACCCCTGAACAGCGAGAGGCCAAACTTCGTCGTGTTGAACGAATAAGGGAGAGAGTCATAAAAAGGTGGGATTTATTTTATTTAAACGCATGTCTATATACACTTATAATACTAGGTTTATATCGTCCATAAATGTGTTGATCTTTCTCTGTCTATCTATCTATATCTATATCTATCTATCTATCTATATCTATATCTATCTATCTATCTATTAGCGCAGTCAGACAGAGTGCCACTTCACACGATCAACTGCCGATCAGGGGGGAGGGGCAGGAAGTTCCCCCTGACACAGCTAGAAAACAAAGGATGAAATCAGGTACGAATTTACATAATATTGGAAATATCTTAAACATAATAGATATATATATATATTGCTATTTATATAAATAGCCATTCCTATTTAGATTAATAGCAATATCTAAAAGCATACTACCAATGCATTAAGTTAACGGCAAATGTTGGTCTGTTTCCAGGCCAGAGATCCTACGATGGCTATGGAAGCTGTGATCATATCCGAGGTTCTGCAGAACTTCAGCGGTCTAGTGGAACATGTCACGCTGAAGACGAAAGAGAAGCACATGTGAAAAAATCAAAAGGTCAACTCAAACTTGGAAACAAAACACAGGACAAAGATAACAGTGGAAGAACAGGGGTTGCCAAAACTAAAATCAGACGCCCACCTTCACCCTATCACATCTCATCTATGACTGTCCACCAGAAAGATGGAGGCAAGGGGTTCACGAGATGCAAGGATGGAGAGGGGAAAAAGTTTGAAGACCCTGACGCTGATGATCGTGATGGGGATTTTTCATCCTCCGACCTGAGAGCCAAGTGGTTTCTCTCCACCAACCAGTGGAAAGGCGTACCTATGCCTAAGGACGCGTGCAATGAAGACGTCGAGAACCAAACGGCATGCACTGATGACCTGACTGATTCCAATGCAATGTCATTGTCAGTCAGTGAAAGCTTAGAGAAAATGAAAGAGAACCACTCACTCTTCTATAAGATTGCATGTGATATCTGTATTTCAGACACAGATATAACAAAGACTGATGGCAATAGCCAAACATCATCGAGGCCAGAAGAAGAACTGCTGATCACTGAATCTCTCTTAGACGAGGTGATCCATAGTATTGGGAGATCTTTCAAACAACAGAGCCTCCAAGAATCAAGACTACATTTGCCATCAGGCGTAGATGAAAATATTCTCTCAATAAATGATGAACTCCAAGATTCAACCGAGGACAACGCAGTGTCAAATACCTCAGCACATTTAGAAAAAGATGACGACACCTCAAGGCAGAACAGCCAGTTGGAAGTTAAAGAAATTGTCCATGGAGATCCTGTTCAGGACACCAATTCTGATCAGGCCCTGGATGAATCTGCCAAGCAAAGAGAAGAAGAAAGTGGGACGAAAGAGTCAGAAGACAGCAAGGTGGACCAAGAGAGAGCTGAAGAGCGGAAGAAATGTCAAAGTATAATTGAGGAGGACAAAGACACAGTCCCAGAAGGAGGCAACAACCGCTCCATCACTCCATCAGGGTATGAGGGCCAACGTTTGATTCGGAGCGCCTCTTTTGGGAAGGCACGAGTTACAGTATTAAGGACAAGTTTGTAGATGCAAGAACGGCAAAAGGCTTAAGGGGCTTAAATGAACGAACTTGGAAAGGACAAGTGATTAATGGTAAAGAATTGAATGAGGAGAAGGACCTGGTGTGATTGAAAGAATTTGGACCTAACTTTTCATTAGAAACTGTAAAATGGGAACATTTAGGAATAGTTGGTGGTAAATTAGAACATTGTCCTTTAACATAATACATGGTTTGAAATGGATGGAGAGTTATAATAGAAAGTCTTATGAATATTTAATGAAAACAAAAACTATGTTTGCAAATACAGTGTTGTTGTTTCACTTAATGGAGAACATCAAGTGGAAAAAATGCCGAGTATAGGTTAACTCTTTCATTCCTCTCCAAACATGCTTTTAACATAACACTGGAGTACACATGATTGCTGCTGGTGGATGGCAACATAACCGTGTTATTGTCACCATAACAAAATGTGTTTTGTATCTCAAATATCCTGATTAATAAACATGTAATTGACTACATCAAGATGCCAACTCCTCCTTTTATATGTGCTAGAAACACGCTTATGTTCTCTTTTTGCACATCTCCTTTTTTTTGTTTTTGCTCAATGAAAGTCCCCCTCTGGTGCTGAGGTGCTGCCCTGATGCAGAATTACACAGAGCCAGTGAAAATGCCTTTGTCACTTTAAATCCTTTCCGTGTCTCAGTCGATGACATCATTGTCTGAGAACACATTACATCACCCCTTCCCAGGCTCTCTCTCTTAAAGACAGCACCACCTTATGTTTACAGGGCTGCAGACACATGCACACATACAAACAGAGAGAGGGAAAGACACGCTTATCTGTTTACAAATGTGATATCAGTATCAACATGCATATTAATTCAGGACAATGCCCATAGATGTGGGCGATTAAAAAAGCTACAAGTTGGCATTTGGATACAAAGACATTACTTTGAAACATACTCCTGACAATATTGAATGTTCCTGGCATGTCACAGTATAAAGACTTCCTTGATTACAGTAAATAAAAGCTTTTGGGGCAAAAAGTATTCATATCTCAAAATACATGTATGCAGCTGAATCGGTAACATCCCTGCAACAGTACATTACATACGGAAACAACCTACATACAATTATTTATTCAAACATTTGACTCATTATTGGCATATTTTTGATCAGAATGGATCAGAATAGTGCATGCCATTATGCTGCTAATACCATGAGTTTTTTTATGGTCTAAAATTGGGCCTATAGGGAATCTATACACACATATTGCTTCTTTTGCAGGTGCACACTGCAGATATCAGTATGATTTGCATGCTTGTTGTTTATCATGCTGTATTTCTATTGAATAGGTGCATTTTGGCTTAAGCTGCAGCTTAAAAGACAATATGGACTATTTGCAATCAAATGTCTCTCAGTTAGTTTATCTTTAATATATATACTCTGTATAATTAATCAGGTGTTTGATTGGCCTTCGATTGCGCGTGAGAGCTGTGGGGCGCGCGTAAATCACAGGGATGCGGAGAATGCTGAGAGAATGTTTCTTTAAGACCCATTACCTTCCAATCCGACAGAGGGGGAGTCTGTGGTAAGGTGGCGTATCGTCTCTCTGCGCGTCCCCCCTCCTCGCCGTTTACATGTGGAAAAAGGAGAGACAGAAAGAAAAGGGAAAAAATAACACACCGAGTAAGCTTTATTCCGGTTTCGGGTGAGGGGCACCGAGGCACGATCCCCGGTGATGGACCTAAGGAATATTTAACATCAAACATGGACACTACAGGCTCCCCGCGATGACTGTGGTAAGGATGCAACTTCACACCGCCCCATCGCAACCCAGTTTCCATTGAGAAGGAAAATAAGACCCATCGGTGGACGCGGAGGAGAAATATGCATGCAATAATATAATGATAAATGCATTTGTGTGCGTGCATGTGTGTGATAACAAGTATTGTGTTGTGAAGGATTGAGGGGGGTGGTGGTGTGCATGTGTATGTTTGTGTGTGTGTGTGGAAAGGGAGGTTGGGGGGGGGTACTATTTGAATAGAGGCAAATAGGCTTATGTGAGAAAGACTATGCAATGTGCGGTGCCTATGTCAGTGTCAGGCATTGACAGGTGTGTTGGCAGTGCACAGCACGATTTATTTAGGGCGCGCTTGCTCGCTCCCGTTTGCATACAGTTAGGTGAGGTGAGAGAGAGGAAGAGCGAGAGAGAGAGAGGGGCAGATGATACGATGCCACTGTATATTGGCCTACTATGTGTTGCTTGTAATTAATCATGGCTGTAACTAAGCCCTTTGCCGTTGGGAGCTTTGTAGTCAAACCTCCCAACTCGTCTCCCTCCTGTCACTGGGCTATATGGAGCTGCCTATAATTCCATAATGTCTGGAGAAAGGCAGGCCCATTACTGAAAATGTGCGATGTGCATTTCTGGGCCATTCTCCTGACGTGATGCTTTTCACAGTCGATCTCTGAAGTACAGATCCATCTTCCTCCCGTTTGCCTAAGTGCAATTTTAACACATGAGGAGCCAATTTCGAGATCCCCAGTAGCCTCACTGCTTTTTTACTATAAGAATGTAGAGACGCGCGTGCGTGCTCGTGCATGCTCGCGCGCCTATCATCGAGTGGTCTTTCCTCCATACATCTAGAAATGGAGGTAGCCACAGACCTGTCAACCTCGTCATTTCCCCATTAGCCCTGTATGCAGTGTGAATGCCAGCGCAGTTAAATAAAAAGCGCAGATCTCATTCCCTCTGCCCAGCTGCCGACGATCACTTATCGATTCCAATGATCGGTTTCTCGGCCAGCGGGGGTACTGTTTCATGGCATTAGGGTTGGGGGAGGAGGAGGAGGAAGGGAGGGGGGTGGTCATTATTAGTCGCTATGCTCTGCTTTTATTGAAATGCAAAGTGTGCATCCGTCGTGATTGCATTCTTTCGCTGGCAAGGCGATTTAACATGTACCAGGATGTAAAAGCCGAGCATAGAGAGACCCTCTTCTTTCTTCAGCTCTTATTGTCGGCGGATGTGGAAGCCTGCAAAACCCTCTCCCCGCCCCAGTGTCTGGTGGAGGAGAGCTGTTTTACTGCTCTCTCTTCCTCCCTCTCACACCAACACACACAAGGCTATATGGCTTTTTCCCTTTGCTTATTTTTCGGAGGCAGGGAATATTTTGTAACCTGATACACGGCCTGATTGGAGGCCTTGTCCTAATTGGTCATATAGCAACCAGATGCCAGCCAGTCCACTCTTGGGTAGGCGGCTACAAGAAGGATTCAGTGTGGCCATGATGATGATGATTATGTGGGTAATCATAGTATGAAAAACCCCACATGCTTACTCAATCGATTTCATTGTGGTGACACCTCTACATGAGCTAATACACCAATGAAGCTAGCTCGTTTAGAGAAACATGTTGTCATTGTTTTCAAACTGCCATGTTCCCTTGATAATTTCCCTCATTTCTATGGCAGCAAGAGTGGCAACAATTCAACGAAAAAGGTCCCGATGATGCTCATAAAGCTGTAATGTTATGGCTATGTCTACAGTGTACATTTTGAGACACCAGTGTGTTCTTGTTTCGAGTCATCTCTCTTTAACACACACACACACACACACTCCTAAACACACACACTTTAGGCCAGTGACCTCACAGCTCGCTGTACAGTCAAAACTGCAGGCTGCACAGTTATGTTTTGCCTGTACTGAATCAGGACTCCGGCAATGAATGCTTTTGTTTTTTGCAGCAATCTTGTGTCACGGAATACAGTGAACTATTACTGTACAATCGTGTCTGCAGTAATTACATTACCCTGTTTGCTGTTGCCCCTGCTGAGCTTATGAAGAGCTGCCAGTAATGACGATGAGTAATTACCTCAAGAGGAGTTTTTCTTACAGGCCACCCTGTTCTTTAACAAGAGTATTACAGGTGTTTTAAGGTCCTGAGCCAAGTCAAATGAATTTAAGAAAGATATTTGTTACGGTTTGTATCACAAAGTAGCAATAAGAGACTGTCTTTAGTTTGCACATGTTCTCAATCCTAGTTTTATCAACATAAAAAGGGATCCATTAGGTGCCAAATGTTTCCATCCACAAATAAATTATTTCTCATAAAAAGGTTTACATCCTTATACGTATCTTTGGTCTTTGTAAAAGTATAGGAAGGTTATTGCTAATACTCATGCTGCATCTGGGTTAAAGCTTCTTATAAAGTATTTGGTCATTTTTAGGATTATCCCTTTGTTTGTGTACACAGTACTGTGTTATCATGACCTGCATTACTACTGTAGATGCAGCTGTGAGTGTAGGAGATAAGCTTGAAACATTTATGAATTGGATTTCGTTTGAACTCTTGCAATAAAATATATTTTAAGGAAATGTCAATTCAGTCCCACATCAGTGATTATCCATCAGTAGAGTACAGAAGAGAGGAAGTCGTTTTTCAGTGGGACATACGGTGAGGTTGCCAATTACCCTAGCCAGCTCACCAGCATGAGGAGCTAATTTAGAGCTGTACCAGGCCTCCAATTACCAGCATGCAGTCCCCATCTATGGTTGTGGCTGTCCATGTAATAGCACAGTGATCAGACCAATGGCAGGACTTGTTTTCACTGTTGCTGAGGCCTGTGTGCTAAATACTGTATGTTTGATTCAGAAAATGGATGATTTTGGTTGGACAAAGACATCCTGTATTGCATTGCCCAGTCTCACTGACGTACAGAAGCCTGCAAGAGGCACTAAATCAGACCAAACCACTTAAAAGTATAAAGGCCAGTGCAAGCCCCTGAGTATTGTAGACTAGACAGTGAAGAATATGGTGAGGAGTAGAGAGGCACATGAGGCGCTATAATAATGCTGATTGCCTGAATCCATGTTGGCCCCCGTTTGCAGCATGAGACAGAACCTGTTAAAAAAGATAGTTTGCAATCACATACTTAGAATAAGAACACATTTAATATGTTTTTATTTAGTGTGAAATATTTATGATATAATGGATCTTTGCTGGTGTTAATTTAAGCATTCCTTTCCAAATGTATAAAGATATACATGTAACGGGTTGTAAATGGCTCAACTTGTATTAACAGAGCTTTACAACTTATTCAAATGCCTGCTAACATTAGCCCTCTATCAAACATGAATGTTACCAATCAGAGACTGTCCCTGTACTCTCTCTCTACTTTCTGCTCTGAGAGCTTATGCTTTGGGCATCCCACCAGTAGTTCTACACTTAGCAATGTTTGTTTTTTGTTTAAAAAAAATATGTAGTGAGCCAGGCTAGCTGTTTCAACTGTTTACAGTCTTTGTGAGATGCTTAATGTCATGCAGCATTTAAGTTAAACAGTTACAGTTGTATTATTGTCTCCTCAAGGCATTTGTTAAGTTACATGACTCAGTGTGTATGCTATTCAAATACATCATTCATTATAGTCACGATAACCAGGGATCAAGTAATCACAATATATTAGAGTTGTTATCACATTGTTATGTACTAAGTCAACATATTCCTTATTTTGTCATTGTA